TACTGGCTACACACGCAGGTTATAGAATCTAGCGGATGTGTTGGGGGTTGCCCAGCCCGCAGCTCTACAAATATCTGTCAGCGAGGCACCATGAGCCAGCGCCCAGGAGGATGCAAAACTTCTAGTAGAGTGTCCTCGCACCCTGAGTGAGCAGGGCACACCCTGTGCCTGATAAGCCAGGGTGATGGCATCCACTATCCAATGGGCCATCCTCTGCTTGGAGAAGGCATTCCCCTTCTGCTGGCCTCCGTATCAGACAAAGAGCTGATCTGATGTCCTGAAGCTTTGCGTCCGGTCTACGTACCTTAAGGCTCGGACGGGACAAAGCAAAGCTAGGGCTGGGTCTGCCTCCTCCGGGGGCAGTGCTTGCAGGCTCACCACCTGATCCCTGAAGGGAGTAGTGGGAACCTTGGGCACATAGCCGGGTCGGGGGCTCAGGATTACCTGGGAGTCAGCCGGCCCGAACATTTAACACGATTATAAGTGGGCTATATGACCAAATCTTTATATGAGTGATTTATTTAAGGATAGTGATACATATGAAATATATATTTCCTGTAAATAAGGTTGCTATGACATCTATGACATCTAGACTAGCGGAATTTCAAACAAACAAACAAACAAAAAGTCCTCAAAATTATTGAAAATAATGAAAATAATTGTAATAAAAAAGCAAAGGACAAATTAACCTACTACAACTTAACAAATTTCCAGCTCACCAAATCAGGAAGTCAATTTGCTTTCTATTTTGTTTATATGCAAGTTGTGTGTACTGTATGAGGTTTAGTAGAACGACATAGGATACATGGGATAGAGAAGTGCAGAAGACAGAAGCTAAAATATGCTTTGAAATATGACCCAAAGACAAAGAAAATGTATTATAGATATTCTCTCTGTACTGATGATGAAGGTGAAGATGCCAAAAACAATCTGAAATTAACTTGGGAATAAATTCTCCTGACATTTTGGTGCAAAATGCTTTTGGGGCTATAAAATCATATATTAACATGAATTTTTTTTTTATCATGTAAAGCCACTGAAAAATACAGTAAAGTTGGAAATAACGAATGTTTGTACTCACTCTCACACACTGCACTGATGGGGGCCCAGGTCTGATCACTCCTGCAAGTTAAGGTGGCGATACTTTTTCCCTGGTTACCTTTGACCCGCTGACCTTTAGGACAACTGACTGATACCGACTGGCCTACCAGGAAAACCATCTGAGTAGCGTTGACACTACCTCCAGTCCAGTCAGGAGGAGAGGGGCATGATTTGGCTGTGGGGGGATAAGATTTGAGTCATGTACTGTATCTTAAAGCGATTTTATCTGATATTGTGAATGGCTTTGCTGACTAACAAAAAAAAAATCAGATCAACAATGAAGTAATTAGTTCTTAGAAATGTGACGTTAAGTTTGTGTGTTCCTTGTTGGAAAAACA